CCCCAAGGTTTATATATTAAAGGTTGTCTAAGTTCCTATGCTGCAATACTTTGATTTTAGTTTGTGGGCGAGGGGCAAGAGCAGGAATGTTTCGTGACGTAAGCGATCACGGATTGCGCACGCAACCTCATGGCCATGTGGTGCTCCATGCATTTGTTTAATTTGAATTGTTTGGCGGTATTATTTTCCACATGTGACGTAATGCGCAGTATGGTTGCGTACGAACCTAGACAACATTTAATGTATAAACCTTGCTGTCAACGGTGTTATTTCGGCGCTTATTTTGATTGTAATTTGCTGAATTAATATTTTCAGAACGCATTTTTTTTCTTATACCACCATACGATTTGATATGTTCATCTTCTAGAGGGATTTATTCTCTAAGAAAATATGCAAAACAAACATTCGCATCCCATTTAAAATAACAATGTTGGTTGCCATAGCAACGAACAAACACAATGTAAACAAGCAAATATCACCAAAAAAATGCGCCACAATTAATTCTTTAAAATCACAAATGGCGAAGTTATTGGCCATATCCTGTGTACCAACTTTAGAGCGTCCAATAATCATTAAAAGACGTTAGGCTTTGTAAGCTGTTTTCGCGGGATCATCAAACATTTGTCAAATGTTTATAAAGCGGTTAGTAAGTGCTTGTTAAACATTTTTCGAATGTTTATTTTTAGATGTTTGCTTAGTATGAACACATTTTATAAGTTTGTTTTATTTGGCACTTGTAAAAAGCATATTCTGAAATATGTTGTCCAACACTTAAAATATTGCAGTCTCTTACAATTAGACTTAGTTAGTGCAAAACCAGGACTAATAAGTGTCATATATGTAGGTCTGTCAAATAAAAGTTAATTTTTTTTAATTTATTATTTTATAAATGAAAGATTTTTTTGATATTACCAAAAATTATGATTCACAAAATAACTAACACTTTTATCATTGCCTCTCTTTATCAGAAATTTCATTCAGTGTTTTTCTTATCTTGACCTCGTGTTTACATTTTATCGAAAATAATCTAGTTCAAAACATGTCTAAACGCACAGAAAAAGCTTTTAATAATAATATAATCTAACATTTTAAACATATTTTTGTGGTACAATTCTTTTGAATTTCAATACCGCGTGATTAATTCTAGTTACTTGTGATTTTCTTAGTTGGTATCACCACAATTATACATTTTTGTGTTTTGTTTTTTTTTATAGTTGTGGTCATTGTTGCCAACTGTAAATAGTGTCGTTTTTATGTAAGTTAAATTAGCCTTTTGTGGGTGTGTTTTTTTAAAGTAAGGTCAGAGCGCCACCGCTGTCGGTAACAGCGCGCACTAACGGTCGTCAATGAAAACAGCAGTAGTACCAGGAGAAAGAGAAGGAAGAGGAGGTGGTGGAGAAGGAGAGAGCTTACTGCCGCCGCCACTCCAAAACGTAGCGGGGTTTTCGCAATCGCGGTGTTTATTTTTGTTTTAAGAAAATTGGCCCAGCTGTTGCCCGGAGTAAATATTTATCGCCCGAGCCAGTTCAAGGTAAGTTACCGTATAACGACGACGAGATGTGGCGAAAATTGGGCGGTACGTAACAAATCCGTAACAACTCAGTGTTTCTCTCTCTCACACTCATTTTTTATCCGTATGCGTGTGTTTGTGTCCGTGTACATCTCAGTGTTGTATCTGTGTGGTGGTGATTCGACGAGGAAAAGCCTACAATATACTTTTATTTTTGTTGCATTTAACCGTTCTCCTTTGGATCGTTCGGTATTTTCGTTTGGTTGGGTTGGTCGCGTTGCGAACCGTTCAACGAAGAAGAGAAAAAGTAAAAACCCGATCCCGGAGTGGTTTAGAGTCGCTTTAGAGGGCATTTCCTGGAGCCGATCGTAGGTCAATGCCTTTGTCGATCGCCGTGCGTTCGCGTTTGCGTTTTGCCCCCAGCAAAACGCATGAATGGTTCGCGTGCGTAGCGTGTATATTATGTGTGTATGCGTCGCAGTCGAGTGCAAGTGCGACGAGAAACATCAATAACAATACTACATAAGTGCGTGTAGCGTGTGTGAGTCATTTTTGTTACCCCCTTTTTTCCCCGTGACTCATTTCAATTCCTCCTATTATTACTATTATTATTACTATTCATAACTCACCACTTTTCGCCACCATTTTCATCACTACACAAAACAAAACGTGCCGAACCTAACACTTAACCTCAAAAAAAAAAATTTTTAGGTTAGGTTTCATTGAACTTCATTTTTTTTTTTAACTTAACCTCACTTTTAAAACATTTTAGAATAAATTCAAGAATCATCATGTGGCGTAAAAATCGACGATTTTTTTTTGAAATTACCCAAAAAACACGTTAAAAATAAAAAGAAAGTGCGGAAAAGTGTAGAACATACCGAAAAATCACATTAATGTTTCGATGTGACGTCACAAGCAATGTTTACCATACATTTTCCTATTAAACCTAACCTACAAATTGTTTATTTTATAGCCACGCACAAAATCAATCTGATAAACTTAAAAGTAAAGTTATTTTCACTAAACTAGGTGAGATTACAACGTATATTTACGGCTTTTGATACATAACGACTAAATACCTGTCGTTAGATCGACTGTGTGTCAATAGACTCTGTGTTAATACTAGAACAAACACTAGACCGCTAGTTCTAGGTCTTAGTTCTAGTGCAAAGTTAGAACTAACACTAGGCCGAAAACTAGAATCATTCGGGTTTAGCCGCATGTTTCTTAAGACGGCTAAACCCGAATGATTCTAGTTTTAGGTCTTGTGTTAGTTCTAGTGATAGTGCTAGTGTAAAACTAGAACTAACACTAGACCGAAAACTAGAATCGTTCGGGTTTAGCCGCACGTCTCTCAAGACGGCTAAACCCGAATGATTCTAGTTCTAGGTCTTGTATTAGTTCTAGTGCAAAGTTACAACTAACACTAGACCGAAAACTAGAATCATTCGGGTTTAGCCGCACGTCTCTTAAGACGGCTAAACCCGAACGATTCTAGTTCTAGGTCTTGTGTTAGTTCTAGTGGTAGTGCTAGTGTAAAACTAGAACTAACAGTAGACCTAGAACTAGAAACATTCAGGTTTAGACGCACGGCTAAACCCGATACTTTCTAGTTCTAGGTCTACTGTTAGTTCTAGTTTTGGTTCAATAAAACTATCGAACATAGTGATATCTTATGTTAACTAACGCTACCTACGACTGTCACTATAATTAACACTCAATCTAAAACTAGAAACATTCGGGTTTAGCCGCACGTCTCTTAAGGCGGCTAAACCCGAATGACTCTAGTTTTAGGTCTTGTGTTAGTTCTAGTTTTACACTAACATTAGACCTAGAACTAGAAAGTATTGTGTTTAGCCGTGCGTCTTCAGACGCATGGCTAATCTGACCCGGAATTTACAACCCACCCTCTGCTCCATGCCCAACCCAACATTCGAGAAATTCGCACTAGTTTAAATGTTAATTAACATAATTCAAGTGGAATTTCTATACAAAATTCTGAAATAAATCAGAAAATTAGGTGAATCCGAATGTAAACGAAATGTTTTGGAAGCAGTAGGTATCTTTTTTGGAGAGCATATCTTTTCTTTCCTAGGAGTTACTAGTCTTTTCCAGTAGTGTTTAGTATTCTGGCAGCATTAGGTAGCTTTTTGGGAAGCATATCTCTTCTTTCCAAACAGTTATTAGTCTTTTCCAGCAGTATCTAGCTTTCTGAAACCAGTAGGTATCTTTATGGAAATCATATTTCTTTTCCAAACAATTATTAAAGTCTTTGAATGCAATAAGTAGTCTTGGAAGTAGTATTCTATGCCTGTCCAAGTAGGTCAAAATCTTTAACAGCAGTATTTAATCTTCTGATAGCAATAATTAGTCTTTTGCAAACAGTATCCAGCATTCAGGAACCAATAAATTAAAGAGGGCGCCGGCGGTAGGGCATCGGGTATAGATTTTACATTATCTTTAGTTTATAAATCGTATTTTACGCGTAAATAAGCGTTTTAACTAAATGTGCTGTGAAAATACAGATCGGATTTAGCCGCACGTCTCTTAAGACGGCTAAACCCGATTGATTCTAGTTCTAGGTCTTGTGTTAGTTGTAGTGATAATGCTAGTGTAAACCCAACCCAGAATTTACAACCTCCATGCCCAACCCAACATTTGAGAAATTCGCACTGGTTTAAATGCTAATTAGGTGGATCCGAATGTAAACGTTACATTCCACAGGAAACAGTATCTTGTCTTTCCAAGCAGATGATAGTTTCTCCCAGCAGTATTTAGTCTTCTCCAAACTCTGAAAGATGTAAGTAGTCTTATGGAAGGAGTATCTCGTCTTTCCAATCAGTTTGTAGTTGTTTGTTAGCACTATCTAGTCTTCTCCAAGCAGATTGTAAGTTGTGGTCTTTTTTTGGCAGTATCTACCATTTTAGAAGCAGTAGGTAACTTTTTGAAATAGTAGTTCCTCTTTCCAAGCAGTATTTAGTCTTTTACTAGCAGTATTCAATCTTCTGATAGCAATAATTAGTCTTTTGCCAACAGTATCTAGCATTCAGGAACCCGAAAATATGCGTTTTAACTAAATGTGCTGCGAAAATACAGATCGGGTTTAGCCGCATGTCTCTTAAACCGTTCGGAATATTCGGAAATTGTCGATTTTTAAGCAACATGATGATTCTTGAATTATATCAACATTGTTAATACATTTATATTATTGTAAATATTTTTTTTAGTATACAAAATGGAAACGGATGAAGCCGAGTCTTCAAGTAGCGGTCCAATATCAACATTAAATTCCCTCTTCTCGTTCACATCACCGGCGGTAAAAAAACTTTTGGGTTGGAAACAAGGCGACGAGGAAGAAAAATGGGCAGAAAAAGCTGTCGATAGTTTAGTAAAAAAATTAAAAAAACGTAAAGGAGCTATAGAAGAATTGGAACGTGCTCTAAGTTGTCCGGGTCAACCTAGCAAATGTGTAACGATTCCGCGAAGTTTAGACGGACGATTGCAAGTTTCACATCGGAAAGGATTACCACACGTCATTTATTGCAGAGTATGGAGATGGCCGGATTTACAAAGTCATCACGAACTTAAACCACTCGAACACTGTCAGTATCCGTTTTCGGCGAAACAAAAAGAAGTCTGCATAAATCCGTATCATTACAAGAGGGTTGAAAGTCCCGTTTTACCTCCCGTTTTAGTTCCGCGACACAACGACTTTGTACCTGGTCATTCTTTGTTGCCATTTCAACAGTTGGTTGAGCCGAACATGCCGCATAATGTCAGCTATTCCTCCAACGGTTTTAATTCGAATCATATAAATCCTTCCTCGCCAATTTCAAGTGTTCCAAGTCCAGGTAGTGTTAATTCTAATCCCCAATCACCTCCGTATGCAAATTTAGCGGAAACGCCACCTCCAGCATACAGTCCAACCGATGAAAGTAACACTTCATCAACGAATAATAATACTTCGACAAATGACATTGATGTACAACCAGTTGCTTATCAAGAACAACCATACTGGGCTTCTATAGCTTATTATGAATTAAATTGTCGCGTTGGCGAAGTTTTTCATTGTCATTCCACTTCAGTAATCGTCGACGGATTTACAAATCCATCGAATAATAGCGATCGATTTTGTTTGGGTCAATTGAGTAACGTAAATCGAAATTCAACGATAGAAAACACAAGGAGACACATTGGAAAAGGTGTTCATCTATATTATGTGAACGGTGAGGTTTATGCAGAATGCTTAAGCGATTCGGCGATTTTCGTACAATCTCGTAATTGTAACCATCATCACGGTTTTCATCCGTCGACAGTTTGCAAAATACCAGCCGGATGTTCGTTGAGAATTTTTAACAACGCCGAATTTGCTCAGTTGCTTTCGCAGTGCGTTAATCACGGTTTTGAGGCGGTTTATGAATTGACCAAAATGTGTACGATACGAATGAGTTTCGTTAAGGGTTGGGGGGCGGAATATCATCGTCAGGACGTTACAAGTACGCCATGTTGGATTGAGGTGCATTTGCACGGACCGTTACAGTGGTTAGATAAGGTTTTAACTCAAATGGGAGCTCCTCATAATGCTATCAGTTCAGTGTCGTAAACGAAATGAAGGAAAGAAAATAAGTAAATTAATAAAAATAAGGGATGTTGATTTTTTTTTAAAGGAAATTGTAAATAACTAGTTTTAAATACGTCCGGGTCTCAAGATAAAGAAAAAATTGATATTAAGAAGTGAAAAGAAATGTATATTTTGTTTCGTTTTTAAAATTTTTTTTTTAATTTGTAAGTTCAGTGTTTTCTTTTTTTTTTAATATAAATATGATTTTATATTTACCTTTCACGAAAACCCAACAAAGAATAAGAAAATGTTTTCAATTTTTTTCCTGTGTAATGATAGGATTATATAGACTAGTGGATTAAATAAAAAATACAGAATATAGATCGATAATTACGTTTTAATAAAGATAAATAAACGAATACATAAATCAATAGTTAGAATATAATAAAGAGACACATTCGATATTATCCAGATAAGGTTATGTTTGTTTATTTCTACGTAGCCAATATAAGATGTACACATTTATTTTCATCACTCTTTTATAAAGTGTACCAGGTTCATCGAAGTGCGCTAATTATAATCTTATATTGTACGTTTAAAGTTTCTTTAAAGTTTTTTTTAATTAGTTATCTCCATGTTAGATCTCACAGTTCATTATTTTATTTAAAGAAAATAAACGTTTACGCCCTTTTCTTGCAATAAAACTTGTTTTTGACGCAATAAATGTTTTATTTAAATTTCTTTATTAACAAAAATTATTTAGCACTGCCTTCTCCNTTAAAGAAAATAAACGTTTACGCCCTTTTCTTGCAATAAAACTTGTTTTTGACGCAATAAATGTTTTATTTAAATTTCTTTATTAACAAAAATTATTTAGCACTGCCTTCTCCTGCTAGCTCATCTACCGCTTCATTGTCAGCAACCCCAGAGTGACCTGGGACCCAAATCAGAGAAACTCATTAATACTGACTGAGTAAAATTGTACTGTAATGTTTTTCAAGAAGGATTTTAGCACCCATCTCAGTAACAAATACTGATAGCATAATATCAGTGCTTATAGTGTCTTCCGCAGCCCATTGGACATGGAGCAGGTTTGAGCATATTGTTTAAACTTGGAAATGGTAGTTCTAGCCACTTTCTCTATATGCAAATGCAAAGGAGATAGGCCAAGCACAACATCCATTGCTAATAGAAGAAAGTTTACTAATAACTGAAGTCTGTCGGGCTCTTCTTCGCCAATACAGTCTTTCAGGGCTAAGTCCCCAATTTTTTCCACAAAGACCACGACAAGTCCACAAGGATAATCTAGTTTTATGCAAAACTCCCTGCAAATGTCCATTCCATGAGAGGATTTTGTCTAGGATTACTCCAGGATATTAGACTTCCTTTGAGGAATGAATTTCTTCACCTTATCAACGTACATTTAAGTTTAAAAGTGAATTAGAATTTTGCAATGTACAAATAGTACAAAGAAATTTCAATAGATGGCGCTACATTACATAAAAAATTATTAAATTAATTAACATTTTAATTAATTGTAAATAAACACATTTAGATTATGAATAAAGGATAAAATAAAATAAATGTTTTATTAACATTTTTTAATGCTGCAATAATTAAATTTTTTTTGATAACATTAAAAAATTATGACAATTATTGGAACAAAAATTAATTGGAACTTGTTGAAATGTAATAACTAACGTAAAACAAAAAGAAATTACAACTATTAATAAATTAAAGTCATTTTTGATTATTTAAATGATGAATTTTCAATTTAATAATTTAATTCTTAATTGTGAAGATAATACTAAGAAATTTTAATAGATGGCGCTACACTATATCAAAAAATAATTAAATTAATCAACATATTAATTCTAAATAAACGCGTTTTATTTATAAATAAAAGTGTAAATAAAATAAATTTTCCATAAACATTTCTGTTAATGCAGTAATAATAAATTTAATGTTTTTTTCATAAAATTAAAAAATTATCATCAGATGTCGCTGATGATTATGTGATTTAATCAAAAATTAATTAAAGCTTATTTTAAGTTTAAATGAAACGTAATAACTAACGTAAAACAAAAAGAAATTGTAACTATTAATAAATTAAAATCATTGTTGAGTATTTAAATGCCAAATTTTTAATTTAATAAGTAAACTCTTAAATGTAAAGATAATACTAAGAAATTTTAATAGATGGCGTTACATGATACCAAAAAAATAATTAAATTAATTAACATATTAATTGTAAATAAACGCGTTTTATTTATAAATAAAAGTATAAATAAAATAAATTTTCTATAAATATTTGTTTAATGCAGCAATAATTAATTTAATGTTTTTGTGATAACATTAAAAAATAATCATCAGATGTCGCTGATGATTATGTCGTTTTAATCAAAAATTAATTCGAGCTTATTTTAGGAGGAATAGAAACGCAATAATTAATGTAATACAAAAAGAAATTATAACTATTAATAAACTAAAATCATTTTGAATATTTAAATAATGAATTTTCAATTTAATAAATACTTTCTTAAAATTAGTAATCTACTTTGCCGACAGCGGGAGAATATTCGTTTTTGTATGTACTGGTAACCGGTATTGATCTGTTCGAGTCGGATGTGTCGCTAGGTGAAAGGGGCTAAAAATCAGTCCATTGTCGTTTGATTTTCAACTAACGTGTTCGCACTAGTTAAATCTGTTATATAACGTTGACCAGGTGGAAACTATGTCAACGGTAAGTACCCGTTTAATATACTTAATTCTCAAGTGTATGTACGAAATCCGATCTCTGAATAGGTCGACCCACGTTGCCATACTTTTACAGTATTTTTTCAGTTTTTTCTACGTTATTTAACGCGATTTTACATTATTTTAGTAGAAATATTTATTTTAATGCATTTAATTCATTTCTTTTTGGTTATAACAAATTTTTCTTGACATTGACATTTCGGAAATTCCTTTAAATGTCATTTTTCAATTTTTTTTAAAGCACACTGCGTTTTTATTTTTTTTTATCTGCAAAGCTTTATATCTTAAATTTTATATCCTTAAAACTATGTTTTTTACGAGAAAAGTGCGCAATAACCTACGTGAATATATTTTGATCGATCTTTATGTATTTGCACCTCATAACATGTATCCAATAAGTGCAATAAAAGGTGTAAGTTTTACATCGAATAACCTACATGGAATTTTAAATATTTATGATCTAAAATCAACAAAATCGACGTAAAATCACCTTTTATTTAGCTTAATACAACATAAACAACACTTAACCTCGCGTTTTTTACCGATAAGATTACCACAATATAATTATCTGATTCGAGACTTGGGAGTGAAATGTTTCGAAATTAAGCAGGTGTCTCATTTTTCATGACGAATAATCGGGCTATTTTAGGATTTCTTAAAAAAAATCTCTTCATACCCGTCTTTTCTTGTACAACTCAACAAAAAAATCAATCTCAGTTCATTGAGTTTACATAGAATTGAAATTCAACTAAAAACAGATCACTTTACTTTTATAAACAACCTGTACCCGCGGTGTCAGCACGTTGCATAAATGTTTCTACAATGAATGAGGGGGTGATGACCGAGGTCCATTAAGGAAATTGCCCTCAACCAAAAATTATTAGCGACCATAGCAATATTGAAAAGTGATTTATGGGATGTTATAATGTTGGGGAAAATGTGGTTTTGATCGGTAAATGGTGGTTTTAAGATTTCAGTTGAATCTATAATTAACCGGGTGAAGTCTTGCGCTGTTTCAGCTGTTTTGCGAAGATGATTTTGATATTTCTAGGTCATAGAACTAGGTTTTAGACGTAAATCTTTTTGTTGATGGTTTAATTTCAGTTTGACCTGGTTTAATATTGTAAATAATAATATGTAATAATGCAATTAAATAAAGAATTAACTTTGTTTATATTGTTTTTTTGGGGAACGTTTGGAATTTTTTATTTTTGTTGGAGGTTGCGCTATAAGTAATTTACATTTATAAATTTTACGTAATGGACGGAATCTTTGCATCGCAACCAATATAATAAAATAGATTTTATCGTATACGTTAGTGTAAAAATTTTAATTCGATAAATATGTAGGTACACTTATATTTAATTTATAGATTATTTATCTATACATTCAATTATCTATACATAAATTAATTATCATAATTAATTTATACATTAACTAATTTATCAGCTTGGGGCACCAACACAAATTATTGATTAAAAAAATTTGGTATACCATATCTCATGATAGAGGAAGACAATTTGTTTTTTCTCAATTTAGTACATTAATTAGAGCACATCAGATTAACACCTCCTCATTTCATCCCCAAAGCAATGGTATTTTCGAAAAGTTCCATAGAACACTTAAGACTTCTATTATTTGATGAATATATTTTAAATGCTAATAATAAAATCAAAGCCATATGGGATGTTATCAACAACGAGCGTCAAACCAACCGTATAGCGAAGACTGCTTTTAATCTAAAAGCTTCCGATTTAAGTGATTGCTTTATTTCTGTCACTGCTAATATTGTGCAAGATATTGTCACTACATCCTCTCATGAAATTTATCTGAAAAAAATTAAAATTGATAATGTAAGATCCTTTTTCTTTGAGCCGATTTCATTGGATGAGATAATTGATATTGTCAATAAGATGAAGAATAATAGCACTGCTGATATGTACGGTTTAAATGTTAATATCTTGAAGAAAGTAATTCATTTATGTGCCGATCCGTTAGCTAAAATTTTCAATCAATTCGTCACGGTATGAATTTTTCCGGTAGAGATGAAAATCGCAAAGGTGCTACCATTGCATATAAAAGGAGATGTAAACGAATGCGAAAACTATAGACCAGTGTTGTCCACTAATTTTTGATCAAGATCGACTCTTTATATAAATGTCTTGCCAAGATCGACCGAAGGGTTTAAAGTAACATTCCTTTTTTTTGCTCTGAGGCCCAGATATAGATATTTCAGATTCATGATTTTTTTGGAAATCGACGTTATGGTCACCACTGATTTAGAGCTTATAAATAAAAAATGGTAATAATTGAGTTCAATCTTTTTATGGATCCAGTCTTTATGGTCCATTACTAAGGTTTTATGTATAAAAAATATTTCCCCATCGCTTTTAGTTTATGAGTTATTATGATTGAGTTAATTTTCGAAAATCAACAATTTTGATGTTTAATCGATTTAGAGCTAATAAATAAAAACTGGTAATAATTGGGTTCAATCTTGTTATGGATTTAGTCTTTATGGTCCATTACTAAGGTTTTATGTATAAAAAGTATTTCTCCATCGCTTTTAGTTTTTGAGTTATGATTGAGTTAATTTTCGAAAATCAACAATTTTGATGTTTAATCGATTTAGAGCAGTAGTGTCCACTAATTTTTGATCAAAATCGACTTTATATATAAATGTCTTGCCAAGATCGACCGAAGCGTTTAAAGTAACCTTCCTTTTTTTTGCTCTGAGGCCCACATATTAGATATTTCAGATTCATGATTTTCTTGGCGATCGACGTTATGGACACCACTGCTATAGACCAATATCTATTCTCCCCAAAGTCTCGAAGGTTTTTGAAAAATTAATAGCTAAAAGGTTACTAAAATTCCTAGATCGCTTTGACCTTCTAAACAAAAGGCAGCATGGTTACCGTAGTGGTAAGTCAACTATTACGGCAATAATGGATGTTATAGATTTTGTACAAAACGCCCTGAATGAACAACAGTCTGTGCAAATCAGTTTTCTTGATTTAAGTAAAGCGTTTGATACGGTGAGTCACGATATAATATTGAGAAAATTATACTTTTATGGTATAAGAGGCCAAGAACTAAATCTTGTGGGTAGGCAGCAATATGTTTTTTGGGAAGATAATACGTCTGGAACATCTAAACTAATAAGTGGAGTACCACATGGATCAATACTGGGTCCTTTGTTATTCGTAACATACATTAATGATCTACCGTTTAATGTCCATGAGGATATGTGTATTTACGCAGATGATACTTTCGTATTAATAAAAGATTCTNCCACATGGATCAATACTGGGTCCTTTGTTATTCGTAACATACATTAATGATCTACCGTTTAATGTCCATGAGGATATGTGTATTTACGCAGATGATACTTTCGTATTAATAAAAGATTCTGATCAGCAATTACTACCTTTAAAGTCCTCCGCTGCTTTAACTCAGTCAAAGGAGTGGTTCATGAACAACTGCCTGAAAATAATGAAAATAAAACAGAATCAATTGTCATTAATATGAAATTACCCACAAATTTACCTGCGGTGAAGTTCTTGGGTTTATCTCTTGATCCTAAGTAAAAAATTAACGTCATCAATTAGACGTCTCTGCAAAATTGCATCTCATGAAGTTGCCAAAATAGCCTATTTTGCAAATTGGAACATATGGCATAGCTGTTTGGGGTCATTCATCTGGTTTAGGAAGATTTTTTGGTTGCAGAAGAAGGCAGTTTGCAATCTTAAAACTACTGACAGCTGCAAAGATGTATTTAAAACAGAATGTATACTTATCGTACCAAGTGCATACATTTTGGCTACCTTAATGTATGTTTATGACAATAGAAGTAAATTTAATGCGAATGCAAACTTTTACACACATGACACAAGACTCAAGAGGCAAAGATGAACTGAGATTACCGTTACATAGGATAGAAGCAACTAAAAGATATGTTGATTTCTGGAGAGTTAAATTTTTCAACAAGTTGCCAGAAGAAATGAAAACTATGGAACGAGGACACTTTAAAAAATGTGTGAAGTCTAATCTGGTCAAGAAAACCTACTATGTATGGTATGATTATGTGCAGGATCAGTTTGTGGAGTAGTAAAGTTAATTTGTTTTATTACTATACTTATAATACCTATATATCTAACCCTAAGGCGTTGGTAATTAGTATATAGGATCACCTGTATAGATTTATATCATCTTGAAATGTATACTTTGAATTACAGACATCCTTTACATATGGCTAATAATAATGATTCATCAATAGAGATAAAAAAAAATAAATTCATTGTACTTTTATGCTTCGCAATAATGAAATATACAAATATTATTTATAGAAACTGACACATTAGGTAAAAATTTTATATCAAGATATGGCATGGATTTTCTTTAAAAATATTAAGTTTGTGTAACGCTGTGGTTAATAAAAATTAAAAATAATACATTGTTGATATTATTTAATTAACAAAAATAAAACATTTCTTATTACATCTTTTATTACCAAATCTTATACAATAAACGTTGCATAGGTGGAATTTAAAAAGTTTACGCAATGTTAATCTTAATGTACAATCACCGCGTTTGTAGTTGTAGCACATTCAGTTGCTAAAATATGATCGACAAATTCTTGAATTATATTGGCCGGCTTTTTGTTACTGCAAGATTTCATTTTTTCTATCAGACAGTTCAGGAATTTGCGTAAAGTCCTAAAATAATATTTCGATTAAATAGGCGATTAAGAAAATATTAAAGAAATAAATCTTACTTGCAGCGTTCTTCTTCGTCAATTTCTAAATTGTCAATGGATGTAGCGCTTAGAAGCGTGTTTATACTGCTGATTACATTTTCTGTACATTGTTGGATTCCGTTAACGTTATCTTTTAAGCACTGCATTCCTCCGTTGTTCATAAAACCTAAAAAATATATACGTTTTGTATTTTCTGTTTTATATGGAAATAAAAATGTTATTTACTTTGAATTCTTTCTGCGTCATTATAACAAATATATTCGGTCAAACTCTTAGCGCTTTGTTGGGCTTTAGCGACTTCCTTTTTCTTTTTATCGTCAAGACATTTGTCAAGTACTACTTCGTATTTCTTCGCACAATCCATTAAGTCCGATTTTCTGTTACACGTTCCTTTGATGATATCAACTACTTGAATTGATCTCGAAGGTCGGGAATAATAAAAGTCATCGTTATTTACCAGTTTTCTCGTGTAATCTAAAAGAACTTCGTTCATTGTTAATTTAACACAAACTTCCAATTCATCATCGGCAATCTAAAATTAGTTATTTTGGTAACATAGATAAAATTTATATTTAAGTTATACCTTTAAATCATGATAAGCTTCGTAACTTTTAGTTGTTTTGAAACACATTTCTTTCAGTTTTCTCTCTTCAGCCAATCGCATAGCTTCCTTACGATGTTGAAGTTGTTGTACTTGTAACATAAAGTAATCACCTTCGGAAAATGGGCTGGAGTAAACCACTGTTTAAAAAAAAACGTATTAGAAACAAAACTCAGGGGATGAAAAATAATTGTTATTACTTCCGATAAGGGCAAAAAGTCCGATGATAATGATATTCATTTTTTCTTGAAAATTCTTTACAGTATTACCAATATCAACTGAACTCCAGGTCTTAAGATGTGATTATTTAAACGATTTGTTCAAAATTGTGCGCATGTTCGCAAGAAATAACGATAACGCCAGTTAAAAATACGTTTGTGTTATTTTAAGATGTTAATACAGTCGTTTGAATAGCAAATTGTTGCGATAAGGAGAAATTACTCAATGTTTTTCCAATTAATATACTCATTTAATTTAGAATCAACACTCAAAAATATTATTACACTGTATGTAAGATACTTAGAAACAACAAAAACTATATATTTATTTCTTTATTACAGCGTTTCTATTTGTCGTATTTTATTAAGGTTTTCAAGCAATCTAATTTTTTGGAATATTGTTCTTTGACTGGGATAATACACCTTCGCAGAGGCCATTTATTCTATTATTTATAGTTGTTTACATATAATCTGCTTTGGCAACAAATATCAACAAGTTAAGAGAGAAATATGAAGATTACGCCGCAATTAGACTCAGACATGTGTCAGATTGCTTGAAAGTAATAAAAGTCATCATGCTACTGAAACCGGATAAACCACCAAATGACAAACTCGTACTGGCCAATATTATTGCTTCCTATCATGTAGAAGGTATTCGAAAAAATTCTGTTAAGGAGATTCCGATCAAATCGAAAAGAGTCTAAAAAACAAGCAATACCACTTAGCGATTTTCCTTGATGGGGCGTTTGAAACTCAGACTTTTGATTTCTTTGGCACCATTCTTGTATCTACTATACATGTGTGACTTGCCCAAATATGACGACGTAACCGTAGCATCATTTGCTGACGATACGGCATTACTTGCTACTAGATAAAATGATATAAGAAGCAACTAAGCTATAGCGGGCTAGTGACGTAGTCCAACAGTGACTGAAAGGCATGTTTGTAAACAAATGCCAATAATGTCAAACTGGCTGAACGGAATGTAATAATCTTGGTAACGTTGAAAAGAGCGTTTCTTGGACTACAAATGCTACCTTATTTGTGGTGATTGTAATTTGGTATGTTGCCACTAGAGGGAATTTTTCAATATTACAATAAAAATTGTGAATTTTCTTAGAAAAGTTAAATCTATTGGTAAAACTTTTTTTCTATGAAAAAATAACAAAATGAAGCCCAAACACGTTGGTGAAAGCCGCGCCTCGATATCATGTTCCTAACCTAAAATATCGGTGAAAGAAAATTCAATGGATTGTGATAAGTTGGTCAATCAATTATCAATTTTGTTAGATGTGGCATGGAAACATGGCAAAATTTGTTCTTACAACTGGACAGTTGTCCAGTACATTTTGCTATAAATGTGAGAGATCGTCTAAACGCAGTGTTTCTACAGCGATGGATCGGAAGAGGCAGCCTATTTCCATGGCCAGCCAAATCCCCACATTTAACTTGCTTGGATTTTTATTTATGGGAGCGGTTAATGGTGTTTCAAACTCAACCTACAACCAGAGAAGACATGGAAAAATAGGATTCGGAATGCCATTCACAACCTACCAAGAGCAAAAGTTGAAGGCGCAGTTTTTACTAGCTTGTTTGGGCTTCATTTTGCTATGTAAAATTAATTAAGTAATTTTTCATGTAAAAAAAGTAATACCAATAAATTTAACTTTTCTAAGAAAATTCATAATATCTATTGTAATATCGAAAAATGCCCTCTAGTGATGACGTACCAACTTACAATCACTACATATAAGGTAGGTCACGTAGGATTTGTAGTCCAAAGAAAGCTCTTTTCATCGATACCAAGTTTATTAAAATCCGTTTAACCTTTTTGAAATTATTGGCATTTGTTTCCAAACATTTTCGAACATCCCCGCCAATTTATTTTTACAGATAAGGCAAAAAGTGTTTTAACAAAAAAACATCATTCTTTTGTAGTGTTAACAGTGGAATTCCGAAAAAAACTTGCCTTCTTGAATTGAAAAATGATTTTCAATTCAAGAAGGCGTTGACACCCCTTAGCGACCATCTTANCTTAAAAGACATTCGGCAAAACCCGAAAGTTTCTAGTGTTAGTTCTAGTTTTAGTTCTAATTTTAGTTTAATTATAATAGTAAAATAAATAATAATCGTAATGCGCATGCTATCTCTAAGGAACATCGTAGCATACTCGATTCCAACTGTTTACCCATGTTTTTATTACAAATCGTGAAATCGGGGCAGATTCTAGCGAAATATCTGAGCGCAAAAATGAATAAGCTATATGAGAAGTGGAAGCCATATTACCATTTTTCGTGGGATGAAATTTATTGAAATTTGACATGTTATAAATGTGCTCACTAATTTATTGTTGATATGGATTGCGTTGGAATATACCTCGGCCGGGCAAGCACCTCACTTTAGTAAAGTAAACTCATAATTTTGTTATCTTAATACTTACCGAGGTCACTTGTAACTGAGTCAGTTCCACTCGGTTACAAGCGAGCATACTTACCAACATACTCTCAGAACCACGATTTAAGAGATTATGCAATTAATTCAATGCATTGTTATTTACATGTAAGTCAGAAATGTTAAAAATCACTCTGTAGAATATTATTTTGCAGGTGACATAATCGCCAATGACTTAATTTCATTATATTATTTATTGTACCCTTATCGTGCTCAACTTGTGCAGCTCAGTTAGGTAGGAGTTAAGGAGGAGGTAAAAAATATGCTTAATATCTTTAATTCATGGAAGAAATTCATTTAGTGAAAATAGCTGGCATGTATTGTTAACATGATAGAGCTGTACACATAGGTTATATTAAACGTTTCTCCCAAAATGGTCTCGCTTTAGTCCCGTTCTCTAGATACGCAAATCTCCTCATCTGACCCCGTTAGATTTTTCTTTATGGGAATGGATAAAAAGTGAAGTCAACTGCAAAATAAAATTTGTTGAAAATTAGCCACTATCATATCAAACGCTGCTCTTTTATAAAAAAACGACGAGACCGGCATCGTAAGGAGTTATCAAAGGGCGTAAGACAGCTTAGAGGTATGTTTCTCATGCTATTTGTGTCCTCCCATCTTTTTTGGAAGGTTCGTTAATCTGACATCTTGCCGACGTGGGTGAAGTAACTTAGAAAATATCTTGTAAAGTAAAAGGCGACACACTCCAATAGAGTTATATTTTCTACTGTTTCCTTCCAGAGTACTTCACTTTGACCAGCAACCTCTCTCTTGAAGAATCATAGTTCACGTAGTCGTAACATGGTAATCAACATCACCTGCTGAATGTTTTACTTTAGATTTAGGTTTAACATATTTTCTATACTCATACACGCAAGTCTGTGTATTCTGTTTAGTGTAGTAGTGGTAATTGTAATATTTTAGTCTACTACGCGAATCCAGCACTGGGCGAAAACGACGGTACCTTTCTTGACTTTGTTATCAACCACGTCAAATTTGTGTTTAGAATAATTCTCAGATATTTAACTTCTTTCATCATGCACTTCTTGTGGGCACCGGGATTTTGGGATTACCACTATTTCGCAGGGGAGCAAAAAGAGTTTACTGTCTTTTTTACGGACAAACGCTGTCTATCATATAGCTTTATATATTGAGCGCTATCTCTGTCAATTGTAAGATAGGGAGCATAGCCGATTGTGAAGATGTTGGCATTTTTGAAGCGTTTAATCAGTCTACCCACAGTAAGGTTCTACAAACGAGCTAACTACATCATTGAGGGATACATCTGGTTACAGCCCTATTGATAGCGATGTAATGTCTCTTTCTGGTGAAATTTTGGGTTAATTAACAAAAATACATTTATAACTATTAGTATTAATTTTATTAAACAGAAATAGGAACATATCCAACCTCAAAAACGTAGGACGATTTTTGTATACACTGAAACTTCAACGTGTTTTTAATAAAGGTAGATTAAGAAATGTTGATTGAGATGTAACGATCTATGTGAAAGGTAGACATCCCTTATGTGACGGTCACATAGCCTTTCCTTTTCAACAAAAATGAGAAAAGATGCTATATGCTAACATCATAACATATCTAGATGTGCATTCAAAAAAAAACTAAATATATCCTTAAACCACCGATCTGGGTATATGGTATTCAACTGCGGGGATGCGCAAGCGATAGCAACATCAAGACCATCCAGACATGGTAAAATAAAGTGCTGCGAATAATTGTAGAATAAAGAACAAAGTAAACAGGCTGCAGGAAAACACGAAAACCGCCTTCATTGATAGCTCATCACACAGATTCTACACTACTTGACAACACTAAGCTTAACGGTCGATTTAGGAGGAAAAAACCCTTCGAGTTCGTGTAATGTAGAGTTTTAGATTTTTTTCTTCTTATCCACACCCCTCAATGTAGCATTTTTGTGTCTCTAAGCACACAGATTATTCCACTTACGTTGACTTATTTAGGCATTCGTGAAACAAAATGCCATATCATTTTATATGGACTAAAAAGTGTTGTTTCTATTCCATATAAATGACACGTGAAAGAAAGCCATTATTTATTTTTTTCCAGTAACTCGATTGGCAACGTACGTACCAACCTTTCAGGATTTCGTTTAACTTACCTCCAAAAATGGCATTAACAGCCGTTCGATGTTTGACGTAAACTGACTATCTTTTGAATGTATCTCTATTTCTTGGCTGTGAAATTTGTAGCTGTCTTACTTTAATATTTCAGTAGTATAGTAGACTTCGCATGTTCGGAACTTTACCGGTGCCGGATTACTGGAAATACTGGATTATCGGTTGACATCTCCACGATCGTAAAAGGATTAGACGATTAGAGCAGTTACATTAACAAGATGACGTTTTGTGGCTAATATGTATAGTTTACCGGATTGAGTGAATAAGAATTTTCAAACTCGAACAAAGGTCAAAATCTAATGTATTTTACTTTGCAGAATATAGTATGTTATTAACAATAGAAGTTAAAAAAGGTCATTTAAAAAAAATCGCGGATGTCCTTTTGCTTCCATGAATATGTAAATCAATAAGCTTTGCGTAATTGTAACTAGAGCTTGTTTTAGCAAATGTTATAAACTTCTGTAGTCCGTATAGAGCTGA